GTGTGTATGTGTGTGTGTGCGTGTGTGTGTGTGTGTGGCTTGCTCGCTCCTTCTCTCTCACACATGCTTTGTGAAGTGCCCAAGACTTACAACCTGACAGCAGGGCGCTGGGGACTCTTCATCACAGGGCTCCGACCTCGTCACACGCGTTTTCTTGGTGGCCACGGCACCAAAAATATGGAGTTGGAAAAAACTGCTGTGCGCCACATACCCAAAAAAACATGTTTATCAATTAATCGTATATTAAAATCAATCAACTCAGTTTAAATCAATCAAATCAAATCAATTACACCAATCAATCAATCAATCAATCAATCAATCAATCAATCAATCAATCAATCAATCATACAAATGAAGTCAGTCAAATCAAATCAAATCAAATCAAATCAAATCAAATCAATCGACCATCAGTCAATCAATCAAATCATCAATCAAATTCATCACCACCTAATCAAATCAACAATCAACGAAATCAAATCAAATCTATCATTGACACGAAATCAAATCAAATCTATCATTGGCAGGAAATCAAATCAATCGATCAAATAGAAATCAAATAGAAATGAAATGAAATCAATCGATCAAAATCTTTTTTTTTTTTTTTTTTTTTTTTTTAATCAATCGATCACAATCTATCAGGGGTTGGAACTTGAATATTTCTGGTGTTCTGGGGGAACAAACAATTATTTTCGACTAATTTCTGTATCTCGTGTGTCGTGCGAAGTTTGGGTGAACTCTCAGGGGATGCATGTCAGAGTGTGCCATTGAATTGCAGTGGATCCATTGAAAAATGGATGGGAGCATAAAGAGATGTCGTTGTCTTTTTTGGGGGGAGCCGTATCAATGCCCATTTTCCATGTTTTCCTAGCAAATATACCCTTAGGACATAGGCTACCAGAGTGGGCCGGGCTCACTAGGCTACCAGAGTGGGCCGGGCTCACTTGCCTGGCCGGGCCAAAAAAATAAAGAAATAAAAATAAAGAATTCCTTTTTTAGTTTTCTGTTTCATTTTAAATTTGGTAAAGAATGTCTATGTGACCCTGAGGCAAAAGTTGCTCAGTTTATTTTTCATGATACTTTTCATTCTAAATGAGACCACAGGGGCCGGGAACATACCCCTACATATCAACCCTGTACAAACTTGCTGTGGTCATTACTCAGCTTAGGCTCCTGGAAACCGGGTCCAGTGTCCCTTAACCGAATCTCCAAAAAGGAAAAAATGCAAAGCAAATCTGTGACAGTACAGTAACCTTGCTACTCAGGGAAACACCAGAATGTTTCTAAAATAGAAACACTATTGGCAAAGAGCTATGAGTTATAAACCACAAATCTCCAGAATGCACGAGGAAATTCGCGAAAATTTACAAATCAACCCTAAAAATACTTCCAAGAGTGTGCTAAATTCTTAGATACAAATCGACTCTAGAAATATGTCCAAGTGCGTGCTAAATTCTTAGATCCTGATGAGATATTGAAGCCAGGCGCATTAATATTGTGGACAGAAAATGGATGATTGAAAACAGCCAAGAGAAAGGCCACATATAGAGAGTCCAAGGGAATTCAAAGAGAGGAAGAGGTGGATAACCGCGACCGCAATATACGAGTGGGGAAGATATGAGCCAGATTTTCCAGGATGGCACAAAGTAGAGCGTAGGACACTCCCCACACCACTCAAGGCATGGGTGACCCTGTGTCAATACTCCTGCTATTGGAGATCAGCCACTCTTAGAAAGTGAACGTCACTGTGTCTCCAACGCTGACTTGCAGATTGATGAACCCTTTATTATTATCACTATTATGAAAACTGGGGCGTAGTCAGCGTTTGAGTTTCAAAATGCATTTCAGGCAAAAGGCTTGAAAATGTGGAATGGGGGTGTGTTACTTTCGGGGATGCCTGGAGTGCATTTTCAAACTTATTTTGTGTGACTGCGCCATAGTTACCCCTATTCTGATTATTATATGAATGTGGTAATTGGCTTACTAAACATGGAACAAGAATCATACTTCTTGTGACATAGAAGTAACATCGTTCAGATGGCTGATTATAACCCTGTGATGGTTTATTATCTACTTCATGGATGATGGATCATGGTCCTTCTTTCCTTCTTCCCCCCACCCCCCCTTCTTTCCCCGTTCCCTCTTCCTCTTCCCTCTCTTCCCTTCCTTTACCCATCCCAACCCGCTCCAGCCCATCTGATGGACAGCTGCTGTTTTATGCGTACAGCCGAAGATACCTAATCAACTCGTGGACTCAAGCTGGTCAGTTGGAGAAGGGCAACATTTTCAGTTGGTGGTCAAGACAGAGGGGGGTAAGCCTTAGGCGCTCTGAGGAGGAAGGCAAGATCCGAAGGAGCTGATACGATGGAGGGGTCCATTGAGGAAACCGTGCCATCGGCTCCATTGATACCTGGGGGAGGGGTGGCTGGGACGGCACCTCCACAACAGCAGGTCAGGGGTAGTGAACCTATTAAAATTGGTCATGGCTTTGGGGACTACTTGAAAGGAGGGGGGTATGTCATCAAGAGGTTCCTGGGAGGGGGAGGCGGTCTGGGAACCTTCTATGAAGCTGAGACAAGGGAAGGGAATAGGGTGGCCGTCAAGGCCCTTTCATTGATGCCAGCATGGGAAGACATCCAGCTCTTCGAGAGAGAGGCCCAGGTGTTGAAGAACCTGAGTCCTCATGGTATTCCGGAGTATGTGGACTTTTTTGAAGCCGACTCTTTCTATCTTGTCCAGAAGTTTCCTAACGGTCAGTCGTTGGAGGAACTGGTGTTGAAGCCGGGGTTTGGGTTCTCTGAGAAGGACATTGTGGATATAGCTTTGGAGGTACTTCGAGTTCTGTCATATATGGAGAGTTGGCGGGTAGTTCATGGCAGGATCAAGCCCGCCAACATCATCGTTGACTCTAAGAGTGCCAAGCTGGAAGCGACTTGGGAGGGACATGTCAAGGTGGCTGGTTTCGGGGCGGTGCAAGATGAGTTGATGGCGCCGAAGGTAGGAGCCAGTAGCAGTGCGGGATTCGAGACACATGGATACATGGCCCCTGAGCAGTCTCAGAACAGGATTGTAAGTCAGTCTGACCTCTATGCTCTGGGGGGAACCATGCTGTATTTGTTGTCCAGTCGACAGCCGTCCGATTTCCTGCAGAAGCGACTCAAAATCCACTTTCGTGACCAGGTGCAGATGAGCGGGTATCTGGCGGATGTGCTGGAGAAGTTGTTGGAGCCAGCACCGGAGGATCGAATCCAGCGTGCACAAGATGTGATCTCCGCATTGAGGAGTCCGAAACTTGTGGTAGAGGTACGCACGGGTGCAGCTGTGCGCCCAGATGCAACTGTTGTCTTGGCCGAAGGGAGTGTTGGGGTTAGGCTCTCTCTTCAACAAAAACCGGCATGGTCCAAGGTTTCTATTTCTGCAACCAGTAGCGAGCTGGTCCTGGAAATTCCACCACGTGGTTTGGTTTCAGCTGGGATGTTTTTGGTGGCCTTTGATGTGATTTGGATTGGGATTATCTGTGTGTTCACTGTCCTTACCCTCGTTAGCTCCTCCCCGTGGACGACCCTCTTCAGCTTGCCCTTATGGGGTGCAGGTCTACTCCTCGCACAGTTTACCTTGAAGATCATCATGGCCAGAACTCGCCTGCAGATTGTGGCAGGGGGTGCATTCTCCATCTCTTGGTGTATCAGGGGCTGCCTTGGGGGAGTTACTGCCCATGGCCAATCACAGGATCTACTAGGGGCTAAAACGGTTGTGGATAAGGGGCATGTGACTATGTGTCAGCTCCTTGAGGGAGTGAAGACTCATAATTTTGGTGGAGGTGGGCTTAGTGAGGTAGAGAGGGTATGGATTGTGGAAGTGATTAATTCTTTTCTCTTTTCAGTGCAAAACAGCCATTTAAACCACCAGTACTTGGCCCAGCTATCGGCCGCGGCGTTTTCCCCTTAACGCGCTGCACCTTTAGGGCTTCAGGGTACTGGACCACAATGGCTGGAAGCGCCAGCCAAAAGAAAATCGCAACGGTACCCCGGCGGCAAAAATTGGCGTGCAGGGGCATTCCAGGCTCGACATCGATAACTGGGCCATGTACTGGTGGTTTAAGGAGGGAGGAAGAAGGGGACGAAGAGAGGGGGTTAATGCAGTAGTTCTCTGGGCCTTCTGGAAAAGGAGATGTGAAATAACTTATTTGAAGACAGCACCAGGAAACCTATTGATAGAAATCAAACAGACAGTAGGGGTAGAAATGAGAGCACTTTTGACAAACACCTGGAGAGCTAAGTTAGTAATAATTCTTCACCACAGTCTTCATGAGTCTTTTCTATATGGGACTCTGGCCCCAGTTTCCAGCAGGTGTTGTTCCCCACCAATACACCAGAGCCATCTGAGGAGGGTAATGGGGATGCTCGTATCACCATGTGTAGCACCACCGCAGAAAGTCAATGTAAAAAGAGAGAGAGAGAGAGAGAGAGAGAGAGAGAGAGAGAGAGAGAGAGAGAGAGAGAGAGAGAGAGAG